CCCATCAAAACTGGCCAGGGCTTTTCTGAAAGCCTCAGTCCTTTCAACTGGAAAAAAATTTCCAATAAAGGCTACCAGATTTCAGGATGGTTTTTGGGTTTTCTATTCTTCCCCTTAAGTTTTCCCTTCTCCATCTGTGTTACTTGGTCAAGACAAAAATGTGGGTCAGTGCTCTCTTAGAGGAAAAGCTCTGGGCTTCCCCACCTTTCTTCATCTAATGCTCACACGGGGCAGGGCACTTTAGCCTGTCTTGAATATTGCTTCTGACTAACAAGACATGACAGAAACCAGGAACCCTTTCCCATCTCCCCCTCCCATAAAAAGGAGGTTTGTTTTTCTCCTTATCTGGCCTAGCTAGAAGTTTGCTAAAAAACCTGTCTCTTGGAGAAACAAGTGCAGAAGGAGGCTTTTCAACAACCTGTTTTGGTCACAAAAAAAAAAAAAAGAGAAGAGGGGAAGGATAGGTTAGCTCAAGGAACTCAGAACAATGCAACAAGGTGAGATGATTCCAAGGCACGTCTGTGTGCCTGGTGTGTCCAACATCCCAAACTGACTTGGTTGTCATCGCTCTCCTCACTGTCACTGAGCTGCAGGTCGTCCAGGAGCACGCTGAAAGACAACCAGAACAGAAATATCAGCCAAGGCAGACACATTCTCAAGCACCAGACACTGAAAAAAGTTTTGGGTTGGGCTTGCCAAAACAAACCAACCTCCCCCATCCCTCCTGAACATTTGGCTCGTTCAGTCTGCAAAAGCCTGTCACTGCCTGAATGGGTGGTAAAATGGTAACACACAACCAGGCATTTCATTGGGCTTTCCAGCTGACCTGAGGATATTGGGCACTGGAGGTCAGGAGCAAGGGCTGCCATCTAGAGGCAGCAAAGACCAAGCTCAGGGAGGGAATGCTGCTCACAAAAGGCTCCCTGGCCCAGCCTGCAGGGGGGAAGGAGTCTGATCCTTGCACAGGAAGAGGCTCCCATGCTCTCAGCCTGCACTGCTCCCCAAGGGACAGAAAGCACCCTCTGTGCACCAGAAGCTGTGCATGTTCACACTCTCTGTGCTCAAGGGCTGCCAATAGTTCTCCTGTCACAGGGGTTTACTGTTTTCCTGCTGAAGTCTCCTGACACATACAAATTCATCCCTATTTCCTGTTCCTTCTGGAAACTGGCTGGGGCCTGACTCATGAACCCAGAGAATTCCTCCAGTGTCCTTCCAAAACTGCGGGAAAAAGCTTGGCAACCAGGACAGGAGTTTTACTCAATCAGGTCAAAACTCTCTTCATTTCAACCTCATTTCCAACTACAGGCTCTCTGTGAGAAATTTTTCTCATGGCCATAGAAGAAAAATAAGACACCAACCCCTCATCACAGCACAGTTCACAGCAAGAAAACAAATAGGAATGATCACCAATGAACCCCATTGTTCTGGAAAAAGGAGGAGAACACTGGTATTCCTGAGGCCTGTTAGGAAAACTACACAAATCTTCACACTCTTTCATGTCAAATTATGAACCAAAAGAACAAGATTTACAGTTCTGTGCATCACCTCTAAACACCCTGAGTGATTTGATTTTATGATTCCGTGACAATAGAGGAGTAAAATCCTGGAATAAAAATGTGATTTCCTTATCTTAACATTATCCCCATTACCTACAGAAATACCTTAACACTCCTACCAAAGCACTCAACACACATTAACACAGTTCTGGTTCATAAGCAAACTGCAGCATGCCTGGATTATACATTTCTAACTGGAGCTATCAGGAAAACCCCAAACTGAAGCCAATTTTCAACAACACCCTCAGGCAGCCAGGAACCAAAGCCTGTGGCTACAGGAAAAGCAAAGGACACTTTCCCACCTCCCTCTCAGAGAAATCGGAGTTTTGTTTTTCTCCAAATTTGGTCTAGCTAGTAGTTTGGGAACAAACCTGTATCTTGGAGGAGCAAGTGCAGAAGGAGGCTTTTCAAGAACCTGTTGTGTTCACAAAAACAAAGAGGAGAGGGGGAGGAAAGGTTAGCTCAAGGAACTCAGAGCAGTGCAAGAAGTCGAGATGATACAACATTGAAAACTGACCTGGTTGTCATCACTCTCCTCACTGTCACTGAGCTGTGGGACATTTGGGAGCCAACTGAAACTACAACCAGAACAGAAATATCATCCAAGGCAGACACATTCTCAAGCACCAGACTCTGAACAAGATTTGGGTTGGGCTTGCCAAAACAAAACAACCTTCCCCATCCCTTCTGAACATTTGACACATTCAGGCTGCAAAAGCCTGTCACTGCCTGAATGGGTGGGAAAATGGTAACACACAACCAGGCACTTCATTGGGCTTTCCAGCTGACCTGAGGATATTGGGCACTCTTTGGTGTCAAATTATGAACCAAGCAAATGAGATTTACGGCTCTGTGGGTCACCTCTAAACACCCTGAGCACTTTGGTTTTATGTTTACATGACAATAGAGGAGTAAAATCCTGGAATAAAAATGTGATTCCCTTACATAAACACTATCCCCATTACCCACACAAATCCTTTTACACTCCTACCAAAGCAGCTGACACATATGGGTGCATTTTCAGGGAAATAGGTCCGTGCCAGTGCCAAAGCTGGTCACGGTCTCACAACCAACAGCAATTCCACAAACCACAAGTGGTTCATCTGCTATTGTCCACAGACCAACTTCACATTTTCTATCCTAGTCATTCGTTTATCAGATTGTGCCCCTCCCTGCCTTTACAATGAGAATGTGAACACAGTTCTGGTTCACAAGCAAACTGCAGCATGCCTGGATTATACATTTCTAACTGGAGCTTTCAGGATAACCCCACAGAGCTGAAGCCAATTTTTAACAGAACCCTCAGGCAGCCAGAAACCAAAGCTTATGGCTAAAGGAGAAACCAAGAATGCTTTCCAATCTCCCCCTCATATAAAAAAGGTTTGTTTTTCTCCTAATTTGGTCTAGCTACTAGTTTGGGAACAAACCTGTATCTTGGAGGAGCAAGTGGAGAAGGTGGCCTTTCAACAACCTGTTTTGTTCACAAAAACAAAGAGAGGGGGAGGAAAGGTTAGCTGAAGGAACTCAGAGCAGTGCAAGAAGTCGAGATGATACAACATTGAAAACTGACCTGGTTGTCATCACTCTCCTCACTGTCACTGAGCTGAGGGACATTTTGGAGCCAACTGAAACTACAACCAGAACAGAAATATCAGCCAAGGCAGACACATTCTCAAGCACCAAACTCTGAACAAGTTTTGGGTTGGGCTTGCCAAAACAAACCAACCTCCCCCATCCCTCCTGAACATTTGGCTCGTTCAGGCTGCAAAAGCCTGTCACTGCCTGAATGGGTGGTAAAATGGTAACACACAACCAGGCATTTCATTGGGCTTTCCAGCTGATCTGGGGATATTGGGCAATGGAGGTCAGGAGCAAGGGCTGCCATCTAGAGGCAGCAAAGACCAAGCTCAGGGAGGGAATGCTGCTCACAAAAGGCTCCCTGGCCCAGCCTGCAGGGGGGAAGGAGTCTGATCCTTGCACAGGAAGAGACTCCCGTGCTCTCAGCCTGCACTGCTCCCCAAGGGACATTAATCTCTGGGGGATTTCTTCAGTTTTGGTTTTTCTTTCAACACAGACAATAGAACCATCCCATGGTTTCCTGGACTTGGCATTGCTGGATTAATGGTTTGACTTGAGGATCTTAAAGGTTTTTTCCATCCTAAACCTTTCTGTGTGTCCATCCGGAAACATTAATGTTTCATTGGTGAAAATTCCCTGCACTCAAGTTTTCTAAGAAAAATCAGACTGATAAAACCTGAAGCTTCAGAATCCTCAAGGAGCACCAGTTTTTGTGCCTTCCAGGTTCTTTTAAGTAACTGCCCAGTAGAGCTGGGAACAGAGTCTGGTTACTTACAATGGTCTTGGCTGAGAGCTCAGCAAAGTTCCTGAGGTTGTGCCAGACTGCTCTGCACATCAAACAGGAATAGGTTGGATTAATTTGCCTCACTTCTAGCCTCTTTCACCCTATGATCTCTGAGCACCAGATTGGAAAGTCACTTTCTTCCAGGACGTCTTTGCCACTGAGATTATTCATCACTCCATGGGCTTTCCCAATGGGGTTTCCTAAGGGGGTTTCCTAATGAAATACTGCTTGTGCCCTGCTGAACTGCTACCTTCATTTCTAGGTAATGAATGTTTACAGTCTCTATGGCCATTTCTAAATTCATCCCTGTTCAACAAAGCAGGGAAATCATCCTTCTTAATCCATGTAAACATCTGATGTTCTCCACAACATTTCACACACCACACACAACATGACCTGTCAATACATAACTTGGTGTTTGCTTTGGATTTCTACTTACCCTGATTCTGAGCTGCAGAGCCATCTGTCCCCTAGAAAGAAAGACAAAGCGCATGCTGAGAATGAAATAAATCAGCTCGTCCTCAAGAACACTTTACCAATGATTGGTTTCCCAGGTGTTACCGACTGGACTAAACACTTTGACTGGCTTGTCAGAGTCTGACTGGGAAGTGTCCCAGAGTCCAAGCTGGCCAGACATACCTTAGCATGCACAGAAATGATACGTGCTACTGCCACCAAAAATGTATTACTGGCACATTAGAGGTAGGTACATCTTTGAAGAAGTATTTAAAACTTTACAAGAAGTGCCAAGCAGCTTAAGAGAATCAGCAAATATCTTTTGTTGACAATAATGTTAAAATGGCTTTTGTACATCAACATCTGCCTCCTCTGGCTCAAAATTCTAACAAGTAAATGTAAAATGACAGAGCTTGCTAAAAACAACTGAAAAGAGAGAAGATCATTTTGCCACCACCTCAGTCCACTCCAAAACACTCAGCAGCACAATCACTTCTAATTCTCAGCAAAAGAGTGCACTGGAAGCAGCTGCTTCACAGCTTGAGATCCACTGGGCTCAAAAGGAGGTGGAAAGCACATGCAAGGGGCAGAAAGCTCTCTTGGAATTTACCAAGAGTCCTGGCAAAAAGGGGCTGGTTTACCTTTGTTGAGCAAGGCAATTTGGCAGACTCTGCTTTTGGAGGCGACTGCAGAGGTGACACGGGACGTGAAAATGAGTAGGTCATTTCCTGGAAAACAATTGAGAGAAGCAGCTCTCAGGATATTTGCTGAGAGACACAGAGGAAGTTTCACGTTTCCCCAGGGTGCCTACAAAAATATTGTTATGCATTCCTAACAGGCAAGAACACAGGCTGACTGGTGAAACACAAAGGGATGCCGGAGTTCCAGCTGGAGTCCTCAGGCTGCAACCCCAGTCAGCACACGGCATTTTCACACCATGCACAGGGAAGGGGTGACACGGACTCAGACCCAGGCACTGGGAGCCTGTGTGCTGCTCACAGAGCAAAGATGGAGACGTCACCTATGAGTGGATGCACTGCATAGGATTCCCCAGGAACCGGGAGTGGTTCTCCCACACTTCCCTGTGACCGGGGCTCCCCAGTGACTGAAGCCATCTGGATGAGGGTAATGGATTAAAGGGGTAACTGGGGATGTATCTTCTTAATCACTGTTCTTTGCTGGTATAGGAATGATTAGATGCATTACCTTGCTCAGTTTGGTTGTTGCACAAACGGTGTGCGTGCTAAGCTTACTGCCATATTAAATGCAGTATTTTGGTTTGGTGTTGCCATAATATTGCTAATAAAGTAGGACCCTTCTCTCTACTGGTGTTTGTGTCCTCTCTGTCACCTGTCAACTGGCAAAACACGCTGGCAGCACGGACACGAGGCAGCATGTCCAGTGCCTTGGGAGGAAGGAAGGTCAGGAAAGGGAACTTCTGACTTGAGGATGGAGCAGCTCTGTCTGTCTCACATGCCTTGTCAGTGTGGCTCTTGAACTGCACGAGGCTCTATTACACTCACACCCTGAGAGCAAGGTTGATCTGACAACTCCAGCTGTATCTGAGGCTGACTTTGATCTTTACTGCTCCTCAGCACAGCCCACAACACACTTGCAGCAACAGCAACACCCACTGAGTGAGCAGAAGTGGAGCGCTGTGTTTTCCCCCATCCCTTACTTTAATGCACATAAAATAGAAGGAAACACAGAGCTCTGTTCTTTGAGAGCACCTACCCTCAAAATGTCCTCAATGGATGGCACATCCATGGAGTTGGTTTGCTGAGACAAGAAAGAGGGAAGCAGCATGAGTTTGTTGGGGTTTTTTCCTGACATGAGACCAGCAGGCACTCAGCAAACATTTGCTTACCAACTACTCTAGGCATGGCGTGTAAGACTATTAATAACAAAATGCTGGTAAGGACTAAAAGCCCCTTCAGAAGGGCAGTTGCTTTCCCTGAGTTGCTGTTGAAGCAGATGAGCTCTGCCTGCAAAGGCCCAGGCTGACTCTGCATTTCAAAGAGTTTCACAACTTGAGATCCACTGGGCTCCAAAGCAGGTGAAAGCACATGCAAGGGGCAGAAAGCTCTCTTGGAATTTACCAAGAGCCCTGGCAAAAAGGGGCTGGTTTACCTTTTCTGAGCACGGTTCTGCTTTTGGAGGTGACTTCAGAGGTGACACGGGACGTGAAAATGAGAAGGTCATTTCCTGGAAAACAATTGAGAGAAGCAGCTCTCAGGATATTTGCTGAGAGACACAGAGGAAGTTTCACGTTTCCCCGGGGTGCCTACAAAACTAGTGATATGCATTCCTAACAGGCAAGAACACAGGCTGACTGGTGAAACACAAAGCGATTCTGGACTTCCAGCTGGAGTCCTCGGGCTGCAACCCCAGCCAGCACACGGCATTTTCACACCGTGCACAGGGAAGGGGGCACACATACTCAGACCCAGGCACTGGGAGCCTGTGTGCTGCTCACAGAGTAAAGATGGAGACCTCACCTACGAGTGGATGTACTGCATAGGTTTCCCCAGAAACCAGGAGTGGTTCTCCCACTCTTCACTGTGACCGGGGCTCCCCAGTGACTGAAGCCGTCTGGATGAGGGTAATGGATTAAAGGAGTAACTGGGGATGTATCTTCTTAATCACTGTCCTAGTTAGGACAACTGAGACCAGTTCATCATGGTATTGGTGTAACCCAGAACTATGTATTCTATAGCCTTCCATGCCATTTCCCAGAAATTGTTAGCAGTAGAGGCCTGCGAGATAGGAAGATGTTCCTGTCCTCATACCCTTTTATGGAATTCCCCGCTCTGAAGGAAGGACTGAGCATCCTCATATCCTTTTATGGAATTCCCCGCTCTGAGGGAAGGACTGAGCATTCCTGCCTGAACTGGAGAATATATAACCTTGGAGGTTTGGAACCTTTTTACCACTCGTGGGATCCAGAGGAAGACTGCAGCTCATCGCTATCAACCAGACTGAGACCACCAGCCTCAACTGGACTGCAATCACCACTTTTGACCAGACTGCAATCACCACCCTTGACCAGGCTGCAACAACACTCTCACCAACAGGTTTTCCCCTCACCTTTTCCTTTGGACTCAGGGGGCCCAAAGAACACCACTCTGTTCATGCCACAGGGTGCCTGGTTATATATTTGGGTTTTATGGGTTAAAACCAATTGTTTGTCTGTATAATTGTACTGATTGTATTATTTTATTAAATTGTTATTCTGACTTATAATCTCTCTTTTGAGTTGAGTTCATTTCCACTGCTGGTTTACCTTTAAACCAGCACACTGTTCTTTGCTGGTGTAGGAATGATTAGATGCATTACCTTGCTCAGTTTAGTTGTTGCACAAACGGTGTGCGTGCTAAGCTTACTGCCATATTAAATGCAGTATTTTGGATGGGTGTTGCCATAATATTGCTAATAAAGTAGGACCCTTCCCTCTACTGGTGTTTGTGTCCTCTCTGTCACCTGTCAATTGGCAAAACATGCTGGCAGCACGGACACGAGGCAGCATGTCCAGTGCCTTGGGAGGAAGGAAGCTCAGGAAAGGGAACTCCTGACTTGACGATGGAGCAGCTCTGTCTGTCTCACATGCCTTGTCAGTGTGGCTCTTGAACTGCACTAGACTGTATTACACTCACACCCTGAGAGCAAGGTTGATCTGACAACTCCAGCTGTATCTGAGGCTGACTTTGATCTTTACTGCTCCTCAGCACAGCCCACAACACACTTGCAGCAACAGCAACACCCACTGAGTGAGCAGAAGTGGAGCGCTGTGTTTTTCCCCACCCCTTACCTTAATGCACACAAAATAGAAGGAAACACAGAGCTCTGTTCTTTGAGAGCACCTACCCTCAAAATGTCCTCAATGGATGGCACATCCTTGGAGTTGGTTTGCTGAGACAAGAAAGAGGGAAGCAGCATGAGTTTGTTGGGGTTTTTTCCTGACATGAGACCAGCAGGCACTCAGCAAACATTTGCTTACCAACTGCTCTAGGCATGGCATGTAAGACTATTAATAACATAATGCTGGTGAGGACTAAAAGCCCCTTCAGAAGGGCAGTTGTTTCCTTGAGTTGCTGTTGAAGCAGATGAGCTTTGCCTGCAAAGGCCTAGGTTGCCTGTGCATTTCAAAGAGTTTCACAACTTGAGATCCATTGGGCTCAAAAGCAGGTGAAAGCACATACAAGAGGCAGAAAGCTCTCTTGTACTTCACCAACAGCCCTGGCAAAAAGGGGCTGGTTTACCTTTGTTGAGCAGGGCAATTTGGAAGGCTCTGCTTTTGGAGGTGACTTCAGAGGTGACACGGGATGTGAAAATGAGTAGGTCATTTCCTGGAAAACAATTGAGAGAAGCAGCTCTCAGGATATTTGCTGAGAGACACAGAGGAAGTTTCACGTTTCCCCGGGGTGCCTACAAAACTAGTGATATGCATTCCTGACAGGCAAGAACACAGGTTGTCTGGTGAAACACAAAGGGATTCCACACTTCCAGCTGGAGTCCTCGGGCTGCAACCCCAGCCAGCACACGGCATTTTCACACCGTGCACAGGGAAGGGGTGACATATACGCAGACCTAGACACTGGGAGACTCTGTGCTGCCCACAGAGCAAAGATGGAGACCTCACCTACGAATGGATGCACTGCATAGGATTCCCCAGGACCCCGGAGTGGTTCTCCCACCCCTTGCTGTGACTGGGGCTCCCCCAGCAAATGAAGCCGTCTGGATGAGGGTAATGGATTAACGGGGTAACTGGGGATGTACCTTCTTAATCACTGTTCTTTACTGGTATAGGAATGATTAGATGCATTACCTTGCTCAGTTTGGTTGTTGCCTAAACAATGCACGTGCTAAGCCTACTGCCACATTAAATGCAGTATTTTGGTTTGGTGTTGCCATAATATTGCTAATAAAGCAGGACCCTTCTCTCTACTGCTGTTTGTGTCCTCTCTGTCACCCATCAATTGGCAAAACACGCTGGCAGCACGGACATGAGGCAGCATGTCCAGTGCCTTGGGAGGAAGAAGGTCAGGAAAGGGAACTCCTGACTTGAGGATGGAGCAGCTCTGTCTGTCTCACGTGCCTTGTCAGTGTGACTCTTGAACTGCACTAGACTCTATTACACTCACACCCTGAGAGCAAGGTTGATCTGACAATTCCAGCTGTATCTGAGGCTGACTTTGATCTTTACTGCTCCTCAGCACAGCCCACAACACACTTGCAGCAACAGCAACACCCGCTGAGTGAGCAGAAGTGGAGCGCTGTGTTTTTCCCCACCCCTTACCTTAATGCATGCAAAATAGAAGGAAACACAGAGCTCTGTTCTTTGAGAGCACCTACCCTCAAAATGTCCTCAATGGATGGCACATCCGTGGAGTTGGTTTGCTGAGACAAGAAAGAGGGAAGCAGCATGAGTTTGTTGGGGTTTTTTCCTGACATGAGACCAGCAGGCACTCAGCAAACATTTGCTTACCAACTGCTCTAGGCATGGCATGTAAGACTATTAATAACAAAATGCTGGTAAGGACTAAAAGCCCCTTCAGAAGGGCAGTTGCTTTCCTTGAGTTGCTGTTGAAGCAGATGAGCTCTGCCTGCAAAGGCCCAGGCTGCCTTTGCATTTCGAAGTTTCACAACTCGAGATCCACTGGGCTCAAAAGCAGGTGAAAGTACATGCAAGAGGCAGAAAACCCTCTTGTAATTTACTAAGAGTCCTGGTAAAAAGGGGCTGGTTTACCTCTGTTGAGCAGGGCAATTTGGCAGGCTCTGCTTTTGGAGGCGACTTCAGAGGTGACACGGGACGTGAAAATGAGTAGGTCATTTCCTGGAAAACAATTGAGAGAAGCAGCTCTCAGGATATTTGCTGAGAGACACAGAGGAAGTTTCACATTTCCCAGGGGTGCCTCCAAAACTACTGATATGCATTCCTGACAGGTAAGAACACAGGCTGTCTGGTGAAACACAAAGGGATGCCAGACTTCCAGCTGGAGTCCTCGGGCTGCAACCCCAGCCAGCACACGGCATTTTCACACCATGCACAGGGAAGGGGTGACACGAACTCAGACCCAGGCACTGGGAGCCTGTGTGCGGCCCACAGAGCAAAGATGGAGACCTCACCTATGAGTGGATGCACTGCATAGGATTCCCCAGGAACTGGGAGTGGTTCTCCCACCCCTTACTGTGACCGGAGCTCCCCAGTGACTGAAGCCATCTGGATGAGGGTAATGGATTAACGGGGTAACTGGGGATGTATCTTCTTAATCACTGTTCTTTGCTGGTATAGGAATGATTAGATGCATTTCCTTGCTCAGTTTGGTTGTTGCACAAACGGTGTGCGTGCTAAGCTTACTGCCATATTAAATGCAGTATTTTGGTTTGGTGTTGCCTTAATATTTCTAATCAAGTAGGACCCTTCCCTCTACTGGTGTTTGTGTCCTCTCTGTCACCTGTCAACTGGAAAAACACGCTGCCAGCACGGACACGAGGCAGCACGTCCAGTGCCTTGGGAGGAAGGAAGGTCAGGAAAGGGAACTCCTGACTTGAGGATGGAGCAGCTCTGTCTGTCTCACATGCCTTGTCAGTGTGGCTCTTGAACTGCACTAGACTCTATTACACTCACACCCTGAGAGCAAGGTTGATCTGACAACTCCAGCTGTATCTGAGGCTGACTTTGATCTTTACTGCTCCTCAGCACAGCCCACAACACACTTGCAGCAACAGCAACACCCGCTGAGTGAGCAGAAGTGGAGCGCTGTGTTTTTCCCCACCCCTTACCTTAATGCACACAAAATAGAAGGAAACACAGAGCTCTGTTCTTTGAGAGCACCTACCCTCAAAATGTCCTCAATGGATGGCACATCCGTGGAGTTGGTTTTCTCCAAGGAAGGTTCGAGCTCAGATGATTCGGATGCCTTAGAATTTTTACGTGGTTGTTCTGTCACTGAGCTCTGAAATGTCTTGTTTTGACTGCAGCTCGGTTCATGACACTTGCTCCTCGTCTGTGACCTGGATTTGAATTTCTTTGGAGACCATATGACCTTCCGCAAATTCTTCCTCATGTACTCCTTGAAATCATTGTAATTGCCGAGGATGTTCCTAATGCGCCTTGACAGCGCATCTTTGTTATCAGTCTGCAACACAAGAACAGAGAGCTGGAAAGTTCAGGAGCACCCCAAGAGATCCAGCTCAGCAAGAGGCATTCCTCAGGATCTTAACTGAATCACCCTGCATCAGCACAAATGAAGTTAGGCAAGCTGGTCTACATCCTGACAGTCTCTCCAAAGCAAAGGGGACTGCTCTGGCCACTGCCAGTCATTCCAAGCCAAGCTTGCAGGTGCACCTGCAGCCTTCAGGAGCACCAACATCAGATCCACTTTTTATCACCACAGCTGCAGACAGACAGGCAGCAAAGCTGCTCTTGCTCTCCCTCCTGCTACAGGAGACCAACCTCAAGTCCATCGTGCTCTTGCACAGCCAGCAGAGCTTTAAGCACATCCTCTGAAGAACTGAAGATGCTGTGTTTGCCTGTACCATGCTCAAGTCTGCTACACCCCATGCAGAAGGCACAGCTCTCCTTCCTCTCCTTCCCCTCCACACCCCACTGCCATTACCTTGTAGGGTTTTGCAAAGATGGGAGTCTTCCCAGGGAACTGGTCTTTCTCCCCCAGAGCCTCCCGTCTCCTCTTCTCTTGCGCCTCAAGACGAAGCAAGTCTCTGTTCTTCTTGGACAAGCTTTCACAAAGAGAAAGAGAAAGGATGATGAACATCTTACACCAGTGTTATCAACCCCTTTATACTCTGTGCAGAACCCATGGTTGACAGACAATGCCACATGTCCAGCATGACAGTAATTGGGAAATCCACAGACTGGTTACAGCTGACAAATCAGTTGGGGCAAGCAATTGCTGTCCCACATAGGAATGAGACACACAAGGGACAGCATGCATCTTTCTTAAAAGGTATTTCTACTCCTGATACCATCCATCAAGAAGGGTGGGAAGGGAAAAACTGTCCACCCATTTAATTGTGAAACAAATTGAGAAGCAGTCAACGGGGGTCATAAGCACATGAGCTGGCAGATCCCCTTGCAGTGATTGGTCTGAGCAACTACCATTCTTGTTTTCTTTCAGAGAACTCTCCACCTGAGAGGAAAAGGGAATCCACTATTTTGAAGGTATTGCCACTTTCAGAGATTGAATTTTGCCTACTTTATAATCAGGCTTGAAAACTCTCTCTCTACTTTAAATGGATATTTGGAAAGGCGCTGACCTGGGACACCATACAGTTGCATTTAAAACAATCCCATAAATTGAAATCTCAGAAATTCAGAAAACAGCAGCTCAGATCGCCCTGTTTCTCCTCAGCCATATCTGCCTGCACTCAATTCCACCAGCCCCACAGCAAAACACCAGGAAAGCTGTGTCACACGCCCTGCACAGTGACTTCATGGAAAACCAGACCCTTTAAACTACACCTCATCAGTGAAATACCACGGCAAAAGAAGGGAATCTCCTGCTCTAATATTTATGGACATTGGGGAAGGAAAAGCATACAGGCATAGTGGATGCAGGTATCTCTCTCCTGTGTCTCCAGACTACTGTCAACACACAATTTCTAGATTCGTCTTCTCAAGTGCCCCAGTTTGCAAGGCAAGAGCCTTGTCTTCCCCAGCACTGACATTTTCTCAAATACCACACCAATCATCAGCTCCTGCAAGTTTAAACATCCCTAAAGAAGAGGCAGAGTTGCCTCGTCTCATGCTGAGGGGCTGTTCTATAAAAGAAATAAGTTGTATCGCACTAGATGACATTCCTAATTTAGACAAGAAGGGTCTGCTGTCTACTGAAACACCCACTTTTTTAAGAGAAGTCTGTACCTTTTTTAATATAAACTTCCACACCCCTGTGGAGACACCATTTCTGCCCATCGTTCCCCTGGCCAGGGAGGGTGTTTGTCAATTTGCTCTTCCCAGCTTTTGAAAACCTGGCCTATGCTGTAACTCAGAACACTGCAGAGTTCCCCCAGGCTCCCTGTTGGGAAGCCAGGCAGAAAGCCTCGGAGATCCACAGTCAGCTCAGGCCCCGTGTGGGTGGGATTGCCCCACACACACCAGTGAACCGGGGCTGTGCCATGCGGGCCAAGGTGGGAAACCTTCCCCACGGGCACGGCCGGCATGGACCGAGGGCACAGACACACAGACACAGAGACACAGATACAGATACAGACACACACAGACACAAAAACACACAAACACACACACACACAAACACACACACACACACACACACACAC